CCCCCTCCCTATCTCTGTCACCCCCTCCAGCCCCCTACACCCCCTTCCCTATCTCTGTCACCTCCTCCAGCCCAGTACACCCTCTCCCTATCTCTGTCACCTCTTCCATCTCCCTGCACCCCCCTCCTTATCTCTGTGTCCATCCAATTCTGGCCACTTGTGCATCATCTCCATCTGCATTCATTTACACTTCCACACACACACACACAGCCTCCTGTTTCCTTTGCCCACAACCAGTGATTTCACTTGTTTGCTGTCTGCCTCATTTCTGGATTGTTGGAGACTTGTGGCTCACTCTGCGTCCCCGAGCAAATAAGCTCAGCCAGATGCTGGCTGATCTGCTGTCTGAGTCTCTGTCGTAGTCAACATTTCACTGGATGCACCCTGACTTGAGCCAAGGGCGAGAGCTGAAGGCACTTGAGTGTTGCTCAGTGAACAGACCGAACCCCTGTGTTTGGTTGCTGCTTTTCACATTGTCCGTCAATCCTTAGTCACTCTCTCGCTCTCTCTCATGTTTATTTTTCTGTTAGAGATCACGAGAAGCAGGAATAGTCCATCTGGCCTCCCTGCTCCCTCATTCAATGTGAATGTGATTGTGATTTATATCCTCACCGCCCACTTTGCGGTCTGTGCCCGCCCCCCCCGATAACTCCTGCCTCTCTTAATCGAAAACAAAATCAGAAATTGCTGGGAAAACTGGCAGCATCGATGGAGAGAAAGCAGAGTTAATGTTTTCGGATCCAGTCACCACCCTCCAGAGGGGTCTGAGGAAGGCTCAGTGGACCCAAAGTGTTAACTCTGCTCTCTCCCTATCGATGCTACCAGACTTGCTGAGTTTCACCAGCAATTTCTGATTTTAGTTTCTGCATTCCCAACATCTGCAGTTCTTGGGGTGTCTTTCTCACTCCCTCAATCAAAAATCTGTCTGACCACGTCTCGAATATATTCAGTGACACAGCCCCTGCTGCTGTCTGAGGCAGAAAAGTCCACCAACTCGCGATCCCCCCCCCCGAGAGAAGAAATTCCTCCTCCCCTCCATCTTAAACGGGAGACCGCTAATTCTTAAAATTGCAGACTGTAGTTCTTGAATAGCCTGTGTTTCTCCCTTTACAACCTTAGTGTAAAAAAGAGACATGATTTGCATTTCTCTCTGGCCTTTCACTATGTTGGGGGGCCCCATTTCTACACTCGGCCCATGAAAGTCTTTGAACTGTAGCCACTGCTTTACCACAGAAAATGCAGAGGCTGATTTGCTAACAGCAAGCTTCAACAAATAACAACACGATAATGTGCCAGGTTGTCTGTTTCTAGCACCGTTAGTTGAGGAATAAATATTGGTCCAGGACACCAGAAAGAATAAACTCTCTTCTCCGCTCCAACCATGACACCGAAACCCCCAACCAACAACACTACCAACCAAATCCCTGCCCACTCACCACAGTGTTGTTACAGTATTGGCTGTGTTTGTGCATGCCAGAGGAGGGAGATGGGACTTCAGTTTATCAGTTCTGTGATAGGCGGCATTCCCTCGGCACCGACCCCGCCCCGACAGTGCCACACTCCCTCAGGGGACCCGGGGCACAGGGGGAGGTGGGGGGGAGCGGGGGGAGTGAGGCGACGGTGGGGATGGTTTGGATTACGAAGCAGACGGTGCAGGAAGCTGACTGCACTCCCCTCTGCCTAGGATCCTAACCACAGACGGGATCATCGACGAGGCGAAACGGCGACGCTATTACGAGAAGCCATGCCGGAAACGGATCCGGGAGAACTATGAGAACTGCCGACGGATCTACAACACTGAAATGGCCCGGAAGCTGGCCTTCCTGATGAGGAAGAACCGGCAGGACCCGTGGCTGGGCTGTTAGGGTTTCTGCGTGGTGTCGCTGGGTTAACTGAGAGAGATAGACATCCTCGCCCACCTTGGATACTTCGTTGCCTGGCAATGATCTTGCAGCAAGTGTCGGGGGTGGGGGTGGGCTACACTGAGTGGACCCTGGTTCCTTGCTCAATGTCACTTTGCTGTTAATCAGGTGCTGCAGACCAGGAGGTGCGGCCCAGCGTGCGCTGGTGGGTTGGAGGGAGCGGCCTTTTCAATAAACGAGAAAAACTGAGCCCATCTCTGATAAATCTCGAGTCTTTGAGCACCTGCTCCCCAACTCCCATCGCACTGGCATTGGTGCCTTCAGCTGCTTGAGGAATTCCACCCCACCCACCTCTTCTCTGCGCTCCTTTAACATCCCTCCGTGAAACTGACTCCCTTTGGCCAAGGGAAACTGAGGGGCCGAGGAACCTTGCTGTGGGTTTTCCTGAAGGTGGCAGTTAGGTCGATGAGGCCGGAGTAGAGTCGTGGGATCCCGACAGTGTGGGTGCAGGCCATTCGGCCCATCGAGTCCACACTGATCTTCCAAAGAGCATCCCAGACCCACACCCTATCGTTGTGACCTAACCAAACTAACCTGCACATCCCCGGGCACTGTGGGCAATTCAGTGTCTATTGAGTCATGGAGATGTGCAGCACAGAAACAGACCCTTCGGTCCCACTGGCCCATGCTGATCAGATATCCTAAATTAATCCAGTCCCATTTCACCATGGCCCATATCCCTGTAAACCCTTCCTATTCGTGTACCCATCCAGATGCCTTTTAAATGCTGTAATTATACCAGCCTCCACCACCTCCTCTGGCAGCTCGTTCCATACACGCACTACCCTCTGCGTGAAAAAGTTGCCCCTGTAGGTCCCTTTTAAATCTTTCCCCTCTCACCTTAAACCTACATCCTTTAGCTTTGGACTCCCCTACCCTGGGGAAAAGAGCTTGGCTATACACCCTATCCATGCCCCTCATCCATTCCATACCAGGGTTAATATCCCCAGCCTATTCGGTCTCTCCCAACAGCTCAAACCCTTCAACCTCAGCAACAAATCTATTCTGAACACTTTCAAGCTTCAGAACATCCTTCCTACAGCAGGGAGACCAGAGCTGAACGCAGTATTCCAAAAGTGGCCTCACCAATGTCCTGTACAGCCGCAACATGACCCTCCCAACTCCTATACTCAATGAACTGACCAATAAAGGCAAGCGTACCAAACACCTTCTTCACCGCTCTGTCTACTTACAACTCCCTGGGTCTGGGTGGGATGCTCTTCTGGGAGGTGGTGTGGACACGATGGGCTGAATGGCCTGCTCCCACAGTGTAAGAATTCTATGATTTCCCTTGTTGAGAGGTCAGTTACCCAGGGGGCACAGCTTTAAGAGGATTGGTGGGAGGATTAGAGGGGCGATGAGGCAAAGCTTTCTCACCTGGTTGGGGGGAATCTCTGGAATTCGCTCAGCGCCAACCCTCCGGCAGCGCCCGCACCCCTCGTCGCCGACCCTCCAAAGCCTATCCACCATCGACCAAGGCGCGAGTCAAGACTGTGATGGAGTGTTCCCAACTTGCTCGGATGAGTATAGCTGCGACAGCACTCAAGGGCCTTGACACCGTCCAGGGGACAGCGCATGCACGGACACCCCTTCCCCCCCTCCACTGAAACTCCGTCTCCGCAGTGTGCACTATCTATAGGACATACTGTGGAAATTCACCACCTCAGCAGCACCCTCCCGTGATCCCTGATGTCTAGACGGATAAGGGCAGTAAATACACCTTCCCCCTTCCCCCAACCCTATCCCACTGGGAAATGCGTCGGCTGTTCCTTCGCTGGGTCAAAATCCTGGAGCACCCAACCCCCAGACCCTGCGCTGCGGGGGGGCTGCAGCAATTCAAGGAGGCAGCTCTTCAAGTGGCAATTAGGGGGTGTCGATGGTAAATGCTGGCCCAGCCCGAATCCCTGAAGTGAATAAAACAAAAGCCATAGCTCTGACCTGAAGTTTGAGTAAGAATAGCTGCGGGGTTCATGAGCACGTTGCCCCCCCCAAGGCCCAGTCCTGAAAGCATTCTCAGGGGTCTTCGATTCACGGCTGCTCCATTTGCCCTCCTGAGTTGGTGTAATGATCCCACAGGCTCTGCCGAAGAACAGGGGCATTAGGCCGAGGCAGTGGTGAGGTGTGGAAGGGTGCGAGATCTCCTCGGGTTTATCCTACAGGCAGCCTCTGTCCATCGTTGCTGTGTGTGTGTGTGTTGGGAGCTGCCTGCGTGTAAATTGGCTGCCCCATCTCCTCGATTAAGCCGCTCGGAGACTTCAGCATCGCCTCTCGTTCGCCACCAAGTTTGTGGAAGATGTGCGTTTTAAACAAAAGGGTTTGACGTATTAAATGGCTGAAACATTAATTGTGAGTTTGCGGGTGGGCCTCGTGTCTTCAAAAGTATTGGGTGCCCCCCACCCGCACCCCCGGCTTGTGAGGATGTGGTAGCACAGATTTCCAGCCCTTCTCTCCCCACACCGCCCCCCCTCCCAAACTTCAGACACCCGAGGTAAAGACCCGAAAAAAACTGCAGAATGCTGTAAATCAGAAACTAAAACAGTAAATTGCTGGAACTGCTCAGCAGGTCTGGCAGTATCCGTGGAGAGAAACCAGAGTTAACTCTTTCGGATCAAGCCACCCTTCCTCCGAACGCTAGCCTTCTCTGTAAACCATGTTTGGAACACCGCCACACCATTGGATGTTTTTCCCCTCCTGAACCTGAGGGACTAGCGCGATACACCCTATGGTCGAACAGCATTCTGATCTCGCTTTGGCATCTAGCCCCGCCCTGTAACCTGTTATCTCTCTGCATGTGACCTTGCATAACCGGTCTCTCTACAGCTACCCCCACCTCTCTCACACAAACCCACACACACACTCCTGACTCCTCTGAATGAACTGAGCTTTCCCCCCCAGCCAGACAGAACGGAAAATCCATCCACCTTTCCTCTGCCGAGCTGTGGACAAAATCCACAGCGTCGTTGATGGTCAGGGAGGATACAAGGTGACAGTTCCAGACCTACACATTGATACAGAAAGGCACAGATACATAGACAGACACCCACAGTGATGCAGGCTCTCAGAAACAGAATGACGTAGACATACACAGACGCAGCCAGACTTTATATTGATGTAGGCATTGCTCGCTGGGCCCAGCATTTATTACCCGTCCCTAGTTGCCCCTTGAGAAGGTGGGGGGTGAGCTGCCTTCTTGAATTGCTGCGGGTGGGTTGACCCACAATGCCCTTAGGGAGGGAATTCCAGGATTTTGACCTAGCGACAGTGAAGGAACGGCAGATATTTTGATGCATTACTGTCACGTGTACCTAGGTACAGTGAAAAGTTTTGTTTCGCATGCAGTACAGGCAGATCATACCACACAAAGTGCATTAGGGCAAGAGAGCAGAGCGAGGAATGCAATGTTATGGCTGCAGAGAAGGTGCACAGAAAGTGAGGTCAACGTTAAAATTTGAGAAGTATATTCAGAAGTCTAATAACAGCGGGGAAGAACCTGTTCTTGAATCAATTGGCACGTGCGTTTAAGCTTTTGTATCTTCTGCCTGATGGAAGAGATTATAACCAGGATGGAAGGGACCTTTGATTAAGTTGACTGCCTTCCTAAGGCACATATATATTTCCAAGTCAGATGGTGAGGAGGGGAACTTGCAGGGGGTGGCATTCCCATTTATCTGCTGCCCTTGTCCTTCTTGATGGAAGTGGTCATGGGTTTGGAAAGTGCAGTCTGAGGAACTTTAGTGAATTTCTGCAGCACATCTTGTAGATGGTACACACAGATGTATACAAAGACAAACAGGCAGACATATGCAGATATGTCTAGATACAGATAAATAGAGCTACGATACAGACATGCAAGCACAAAGGCACATAGAATCATTGAGATTTACAGCAGGGAAACAGACCCTTTGGTGAACTCATTCAGACTGAACAGATGCTAAATCAATCTTAATAAACTCCCAACCTGCCTTTTCACTGGGGCATAGGAGGTTGAGAGGCAACCTTATGGAAGTCTATAAAATAACAAGGGATTTAGATAGGGTTAGTAGTAGTTGTCTTTTCCATAGGATGGGGGATTTCAAAACTCAGCACATTTTTAAGGTGAGAGGAGAGATATTTAAAAAAGACATGAGGGGCAATTTTTTTTACACAGAGGATGATTCACATGTGGAATGAACTTCCTGAGGAAATGGTGGGTGTGGGTACAGTTACAACGTTTAAAAGACATTTGGGATAAGTACATGGATAGGAAAGGTTTGGAAGGATATGGGCCAGGAGCAGGCAGGTGGGACTAGTTTAGTTTGGGATTATGGTCAGCATGGACTAGTTGGACCGAAGGGTCTGCTTCGGTGCTGTATGACTCTATGACTATAATAAACCAAATCAGAAAAGGCAAGGTCTTTTCCCCAGAGTGAGGGAGTCCAAAACTAGAGGGCATAAGTTTAAGGTGAGAGAGAAAAGATTTACTCTAAGGGTCAACTTTTTCACACAGAAGGTAGTGTGTGTACGGAATGAGCTGCCAGAGGAATTGGTGGAGGTTGGTACAATTACAACATTTAAAAGGCATCTGGATGGGGATATGAATAGGAAGGGTTTAGAGGGATAACGAGGTGTAGAGCTGGATGAACACAGCAGGCCAAGCAGCATCAGAGGAGCAGGAAAGCTGACGTTTCGGGCTGAGACCCTTCTTCAGAAATGGGGGAGGGGAAGGGGATTCTGAAATAAATAGGGAGAGAGGGGGAGGCGGATAGAAGATGGATAAAGGAGAAGATAGATGGAGAGGAGACAGACAGGTCAAAGTGGGGGGGTGTGGAGCCAGTAAAGGTGAATGTAGGTGGGGAGTTAGGGAGGGGATAGGTCAGTCCAGGGAGGACAGACAGGTCAAGGGGGCGGGATGAGGTTAGTAGGTAGGAGATGGAGGTGGGAGGAGGAGATAGGTGGGAGGAAGGACAGGTTAGGGAGGCGGGGACAAGCTGGGCTGGTTTTGGGATGCGGTAGGGGGAGGGGAGATTTTGAAGCTTGTGAAGTCCACATTGATACCATTGGGCTGCAGGGTTCCCAAGTTTAGAGGGATATGGGCCAAATGCTGGCAAATGAGACTAGTTTAGTTTGGGATTATTTTTGTATCAGAGATAGTAGGAACTGCAGATGCTGGAGAATCTGAGATAACAAGGTGTAGACTGGATGAACACAGCAGGCCAAGCAGCATCATAGACTCTTCAGGTCTAGGCCCGAAACGTCAGCCTTCCTGCTCCTATGATGCTGCTTGGCCTGCTGTGTTCATCCAGCTCTACACCTTGTTATGTTAGTTTGGGATTATGTTTGGCATAGACTGATTGGACCAAAGGGTCTGCTTCTGTGCTGTACATCTCTATGACTCTAAATGGGACTTAGATCAGTTTAGGATTTATGATCGGCATGGACGAGTTGGATTGAAGGGTCTGTTTCCGTGCTGTACAAGTCTGTGACTCTTAATTTAATCATTCACCCCATCTTCACCCTTCATGATTTCATAAGGTCACCCCGCAACCTCCTGCGGTCCAGTGTAAAAGGAGACCCCAGCCCATTCAGCCTCTCCTGAGAACTCAAACCCTCCGACACCCTGGTACATCTTTTCTGAATGGAAACAGACATGCAAACACAGAAGATATGCACAGGTACAGACAGACACAGGCTATGTACAGATACAGATCTCCCCTTCTCTCCCCATGGGAGGTTTGGGGGGGGGGGGGGGGGGGGGGGGAGCTCATGGGGAAGAAAGGGGTGGTGTCTTCTCTCTCCAAGCCGTGAAGCAGCCAATCAGAGAGCCTCTGGCAGGGCACAGGGGGACCCACGTGTTGCGGTCGAATTGCTACAAGCAATCATACACGTGTTGGCAACATTAGCCAGTTTCCCAGGCTCAGACAGAGAGCGGAGGAGCTAGCCTACTGGAGTCGAAATACCCCCGGAGATAGGGGAGAGAGAGAGAGAGAGAGAGAGAAATCACAGCAACTGAAACCAGGTAAATAAAACAAAAAAAAATATACACACCCCAATTAAACTCCTGCCCAATTTACAACCTGCTTTAATCCCACTGTTTTTGTCTTAAGATGCAAAGACAAACTGGGGACCCAGATTTCCTTTGTTTGTGAGTTTGCAAGTCCAGATAATTTGACGTTTCTAAACAACACCTTTCGCCTTTTAACTTTTTTTTTTGTTAAGATATTTACTTTAATCCCTCCCCTTGAAGCGGCGTTTCTAGATTTTTGAAACAAAAGACATTTTTTTTGTGTGTGTGAGCTTGCTGTTTTCTGATGTTGCTATGGTTTTACTTTTTTTTTTGCTGGAAGCATATTTTTTTATTGTGGAGATTTCAAACAGTTTTGATCCGCCTTGCGTTTCTTTAAAAGAGAGGGTCAGTCCTGCAACACCATAAGGATATCGGATCGCCCCATTGTTCTGGAGAACTGTTTGGGATCCCCTCTTTTGAGATTTTTTTTTCAAGCTCTCTCTCTCTCTGTTGTCAGAATGTGAAATGGGTGAAGATTCCTCGTTTATTTCAGTGCCTTGGAGCAGACTTATTGTTTCCCTCTGTCTCTCCCTGGCTGAAATTTCAGATGCTACAGACAGAAAGAGACAGCTCCGCCTTTTTCAAGCATCCTGAGCTTCCAACCTCTCTCAACAAAGACATTGTACCCAGTTTCCATGACCCAGGCCTTCCTTAGAACCGAGATGTCGCTGGCGTGACCTGCTTTTTCTCTCTTAAAAAAGGGACAGGGGGGAGGTCTTGTATCACTGACCCAGTATTTATCCTCAAGCCAGATTAAAGGCTGATTTAAGCCAATCTGTTCCCCCCCCCCCCTTTATTATTTAAACACCCTCTCCTACAGATTCTCCTTAGTCCACAGACAGATAAAGACTGTGCTTCACTTTTATTTGATGGGGGGGTGGAGTGCTGAGCTCATTTATATAGAGTCATAGATGTGTACAGGGCAGAAACAGACCCTTCGGTCCAACTCATCCATGCCAACCAGACATCCTAAATTAACCTAGTCCCATTTGGCCCATATCCTTCTAAACCCTTCCTATTCTTATACCTGACTAGATGCCTTTTAAATGTTGTAATTGTACCAGCCTCCACCACTTCCTCTGGCAGCTCATTCCATACACGCACCACCCTCAGTGTGAAAAAGTTACCCCTCAGGTCCCTTTTAAATCTTTCCTCTCTCGCCTTGAAACCTATTCCTTCTAGTTTTGGACTCCCTTACCCTGGGGAAAAGACCTTGGCTATTCACCTTATCGAAACCCCTTATGATTTTATAAACCTCTATAAGGTCACCCCCTCAGCCTCGTACACTCCAGGGAAAAAAAAAGTCCCAGCCTAATGAGCCTCTCCTTACAGCTCAAACCTTATATCCTTGTCAACCTGTGTTTTTTTGGCACACTTTCCAATTTAATAACACCCTTCTTATAGCAGGTGGGCCAGAATCGTGCTCGTTGGGAGATAGGGTGTCCTTTCCCTAGAATGTGGGATTTCAAGATGAGGGGGGTGCATGTTTATGCTGAGAGGAGAGACACGAGGAGTAAATTTTTATTTTACACAGAGGGTGGTTTGTGTGTGGAATGAACTTCCTGAGGAAGTGGTGGATGTGGGTACAGTTACAACATTTAAAAGACATTTGGATAAGTACATGGATAGGAAAGGTTTGGAGGGATATGGGCCAGGAGCAGACAGGTGGGACTAGTTTAGTTTGGGATTATGGTCAGCATGGACTGGTTGGGCCGAAGGGTCTGTTTCCGAGCTGTGTGGCCTTACCAGTGCCCTGCACAGTTGTAGCACCTGTACTCGGTTCACTGCCCCAGTGAAGGCAAGCGTGCCAAGCGCCATTTTCGCCACCCTGTCTGCCCGTGACACTACTTCTGCCTGTTTCTGTTTCAGCGAAATGGATTCGACTGGGAGCAGGGCTTCTCGAGAGTCCGGGGAGGGGCTCAGCAGCGAGGACGATGGGGACTGCGACGTCTTCCTTTCCGACAGCGACTCCGACCGAGCCCTGTGCCCGGCTGCGCCCGCGGGGCTCCCTCTGCGAGGCCGGCCCGCCAGTGGGGTGCCCTCGCCGGCGCCTCAAGCCTTCATCCCTCACCCCATGTCGGCCTCCCACCTCAAGAAGCCGCTGGAGAATATCTACTTTGCCTCGGCCCCCGCCAGACCGTGCCCGCCACCGCCACCAGGTGGCGCCAGTCGGGGGGGAGCCTGGAAACTCTCCCTCGATGGCGGGCACCATCTCGGTCAGTACCCCGAGAGGTTCCGAAGCAGGGGGAGCCTGAAACGGAGAAGGGAGTGGGATGCATCCGAGCAGCAGGGGACCGTCTGGAGCGAAAAGGCACCTTGCGCCAAGACGAAAGGGGACCTACTTTTTGCACAGAAGGTTTGCAATGCCATTTAACTGATTCGTTCTGTCCTTTAATTCTGTGGGAGTTGGGCACTGACTGTGTTCAAAGTGTTAGGAGTCCGGTTCCGATAAACTGGCAGTGACTGAAACTGCAGGTTGTTGACTTGATCTGGTTCAGACGTTTCGTCACCGTGCTAAGGTAACGTTGTCAGTGGAGCCGCCGATGAAGTGATTTAGAATGGATTTAGATTAGAATTCCTTACAGTGTGGAAACAGGCCCTTCGGCCCAACAAGTCCTCACCGACCCTCAGAGCATCCCACCCAGACCCATCCCCCTATAACCCACCTAATCTACATATCCCTGGGCACTATGGGGCAATTTAGCACAGCCAATCCACCCTAACATGCACATCCCTGGGCACTAAGGGACAATTTTGTATGGTCAATCCACCCTAACCTGCACATCCCTGGGCTCTACGGGACAACTTAGCACAGCCAATCCACCCTAACCCGCACATCCCTGGGCACTACGGGACAAATTTAACACGGCCAATCCACCCTAACCTGCACATCTTTGCACTGTGGGAGGAAACTGGAGCACCCGGAGGAAACCCAAGCAGACACGGGGAGAATGTGCAAACTCCACACAGACAGTCCCCGAGGGTGGAATCGAACCGGGGTCCCTGGTGCTGTGAGGCAACAGTGCTAACCACTGAGCCACCCCTAAGTGATATTATTCTACTCTGCTTGGAATTTATACTGCCCGGTCCGTTATGGTGAGTAGCGCCATTTTCCGTTTTTGATCTGTGCGGGTTTGTAGATGGGGTCCAATTTTATATTGTTTGTTGATTGAAGTATGGGTGGAGAACTATGGAAAATTGGACCCCATATACTAACCCATACAGATCAAAACCGGGAATGACACTACTCTCCATAACGGACCAGACAGTATAAATTCCAAACGGAATAGAATAACATCGCTTCATCGGAGCGTTACCTAGCATGGTGACGAAACGTCTGAACAAAAACAAGCCAGCTCGGCGAGAAAGTCAACAACCTCAACCCAAGCTACGGATCTCTGCCAAAACTTTAAACGGAACCTAAAGTTCCATGGGGTAGCGGATATATGGGAACCCCACCTTTGAGTTCCCCTCCGAGCTGCTCCCCACCCCGACTTGGAAATCTACCGGCCGTCCCTTCACCGTCCCGGAATTCCCTCCCTAAGGGGCACTGCGGGTCAACTCACAGCAGGTGGACTGCAGCGGTTCAAGAAGGCAGCTCACCCCCCCCCTCCCTTCTCAAAGGGGCAACTAGGGACGGGGCAAGAAATGCTAGGTCCAGCCAGTGATGCCCACTTCCCACAAAGGAGTTAAACAAAAGGGAGCTTAAGGCACAGCGGTAGTGTCCTTACCTCTGTACCAGAGGTCCAGGTTCAAGTCCCACCTGCTCCAGAGGTCTGACATGTTGCATTAACTGCGGTTAATTTAAAAATTTTGATTTTTTTTTTCTATTCATTTGTGGGATGTGGGCATTTCTTGCCCGTCCCCAGTTGCCCTTGTTAGGAGGCGAAATCTTGTATAGCAAGCGCCTCTGTAAATGAATACATGTGTGCGTGTAAAGATTGGCTCCAGTTCTGTCCTCTTCCTCCCCCCCCCAATTGATCGTAGAACACCCTTGGAGAAAGAAAGTGCAGAAGAGGTCAGAACTGGAGAGGCACAGAGAGGTCTCCGACGTTCAGAGCTTACAGAGCAAGGAAGCTGGGGGCAGGGGGGTGGAGGGGTTGTTAGGGTGGACTGATGGAGAAATTTCAAAAGTCGAGACTTTTCCATCTGAGGGTGTTACCAGACCGGGAGCCAGTGCGTTGCAAGAAAGTGTTGGCTAAGGTTACACTGTTTGAATTCAGTCATGGAGCCCCAGAGCTTTGTATCTGCTGAAGATTGAAGGCAATGGGCAGCAGGAGGGACATGCGTACATTTTGAGTCCAGAGCTAACAAATTATGCGATTGCTTCAACACTGCTGACTCAGTAGTACCTGGAAATAAATTTGGAACTCCAAAAGGGGCCTGAGATGGCATCCTCCCCTCACCAACAGTTGCTGAAGGGGTACAGGATGTTCTGCTATAACGTGTGTTTCATTAATGTGAATTGACTGTAACGTGAATGATGAATAGGGGGTGCTGTCTGGATAACGCACACTTTCTGTTGCACAGGTTATAGCGACTTTTCTACAGCATGAGGTCACACAAGAACGCAACTATTGCGTTATAGAACTACCTTTAAATAGGGGAGTTGGGGGGAGAATGGGGTACTCGCTCCCACTGGGAGTTGGGGGGAGAATAGGGGGCTCTCTCCCACTGGGAGTTGGGGGGAGAATAGGGGGCTCTCTCCCACTGGGAGTTGAGGGGAGAATAG